GTTCATAGCAGCGCAATTTACAATAGCTAAGATCTGCAAACAGCCCAAGTGCCCATCAGTAGATGAGTGGATAAAAAAGCTGTGGGACATTCACACCATGGAATACTATGCAGCTGTAAAGAAGGACCTTGTACCACTTGGAATAGTATGGATGGGCCTGGAGAATATTATGCTAAGCAAAATAAGCCAGGCAGAGAAAGATAAACATCACATGATCTCACTTATATGTGGAATCTAAAGAACTTAATAAACTGATGAACAGAATAGATTCAATGACATGGAAGCATGGATGAGACTGAGGAATCTCAGAGGGATGGAGGAGGGCAGGTGGGTGGAGGGAGAGATTAACCGATGAATTTATATGCATATATGCGCAACCCAAGGACACGGACAGTGGTGTGGCGAGGGACTGGGGAGGGGGGTGGGACAGGGTTGAATGGGTCATGGGGGAGAAAAAGGGACATCTGTAATATTTTAAACAAAAGTAAAAAAAATAAAAATAAATAAGTAAAAATTAAATGTATTAGAATCATATAATTTTAAAGCTGAAAGATTATAGTGTTCTAATTGAAGTGTTCTAATTCAGCTCTCTTATTTTAATTATGAACATTCTGTCCCCTAGACAGGGTTAAGGAACTGGCCCAAGATAGTCAGTTTGTCAATGGCAGATCTGCAACCAGAAACCAAGCTTAATTCTAGATCTGAGCTGGAATTAAGACTCAAACATATTTATATTATATGTCAGAACAGCAACAACAGAAATCCTAATAATTTAAATGGCAAACAATCTTATTTAAAACCACTGACCTCTATTATTATTAAATTGATGACACCAACGGAGACAGGCAGAATCCAAGTGGAATCTAGTGCAGTGAGGTCAGGAAACCATAGGACTCCACCAGTAGCTAACTGCTCCTGAACAGAAAAACCTGCTGAAAGTTTTATAAATAAAAGAATTTCTAGTAACAGCAGAAGGAAATATACAAGACATAAGTAGTATGATAATTCCAATAAGGTGTCCCTCACACTAAAGACTTGCATTGGTTTTATTCGGGCTATTTTCATTCCACAACACAAGTCAGTCCTACCTGGACTGAGAAAGAGGCAAGCAGCTTTCTGTAGCAAACAGACTTAGAATAAAAATATGTAGCAGTGCACTGGTCGATAGCTCAGTGGTTAGAGCATCACTTGAGTACCGAGGAGTCACGAGTTCAATTCCCAGTCAAGAGCACATACCTGGGCTGTAGGTTTGGTCCCCAACCTGGCCTGGGTCGGGGCTGGTGCAGGAGGCAACCAATTGACGGATCTTTCTCACACTGATGTTTCTCTCTCTCTCTTCCCTCCCCACCCTTCTGCTCTCTCTAAAAATCAATGGAAAGTCCTAGCCAGCTTCGCTCAGTGGTTAGAGCATTGGCCTGTGGACTGAAGGGTCCTGAGTTCAATTCCAGCTAAGGGCATGTACCTCAGCTGCAGGCTTGCCCCCATCACGGTGAGTGGGGGAGGCAACCAATCAATGTGTCGCTCTCACATCAGTGTTTTTCTCTCTTTCCCTGCCAGTCTCTCTGAAAAGCAATGGAAAAAATATACTCAGGCGAGGATTAAAAAAATAAATAATAAAAAAAAAAAAATCAATGGAAAAAATATGCTCAGGTGAGGACTAACAACCACAACAAAAAGTAGCAGTAATCTTTTCAGACTTAAATTTAAATAATTGTGTAGCCAAAGGCTGCTTCTTTCAAGTCTATTCAGATTACTTTCTGGTTAGAAATGCCTTTAAATGAAAGAAACAAATGCTTTAGTTCCTATTGTTTCTTAATTAATGTTTACAGTTATAACTGTGAAACCTATTCTGTTCTCTTAAGTTTACAAACAAAAATAATTCTTGGCTAGGAAAACAAATTATGAAATTATAACACTAATTGTATTACGATCTCTCAGTAGTATTACCACTGTCCTTCCTAGATTTTTCTCAACACAGCTAGTCTGCTTACACTTAATATTTTAAATTCTATATTTACAACCTTTATAAAGAAGATTGGTTTAAGCATTCTAATTATGTTTAAAGTATGGGTTTTTTTTTCTTTTTCTTTAGAGTAAAAGACAATGTTAGAGAACTTATGTGGGGGAAATAGACTTCTATAATAACTACCTTCTGAATGTGTTGCTCCTGTGCTAAAATTCCGGAGAGCAACAGACATGCAGACCCACATGGGAAGCTGAATCCAGACCAGCACTGTGGCTTTGAAAGGGTGGCAGTTATCCCGAACATATAGCTCTGAAACGAGTCTCCGCATATTCTGTAGATAAGTGAGCCTATTTTGAGGGAAAAAGGGAAAAGAGAAAATGTCATTTGACTACTACTATTGCCTCATAACCATGGCACAAACATAGCCAAGTTATGGTTATTGGCTGAAGGATTTGTGTAGAATTTTTAATTGTCATAAGCTATATTAAGGGGCTGCCTAAATAAAAGGTAAATAAAGCCTTTTACTGAAAATTCTCTAGCAATGTACACAAATTACATAACAATTCAATAAATCTAATGTGAAACTACAGGCTTTTTCCACAGTGATCTTTGGTCAATTAGGCTTTAACAAAGGAAGCTTCACTACCAACATGGTATTACTGCAATTTCTATCAGAAATACTAAAGGTAAAACGCACATTTTATTCAAATCCCTCCATTCCAGCCAAGTTCAATTACTTGGTCCCTGAATATACTTTTTGTAGCAATGTGGTTTTGTATTGTACGTGCTCTTAGCCTGTCAAAATGGTCTCCATTCTTCAATTCTCTTTCATGAAGATTTTCTTTGTTTTTCTGTTAGGCATATTAGTTATTCCTGTTCTTAAGTCCCACTTTCTTGACTACAGCCTCCTTGAAGGTCAAGTGTTGGGTCTTATTCATCTCTCAATCTCTTACAGCATGTTTTGTATAAAAGTAAGGCATTCAATAGGTTTTCTGAATTTACTCAAATTATAGTGTATTGAATTAAGAGAGTACACACCGACATTCTAGGCTCTTTATAATTTAGCCTCTGCCTACTCTTCCAACTTTATCTCCTGTTACTCCTTTATAGACACTTGTATTTTTTGGTGCCTGAATTACTTAGGTCATCCAAGAAATCAGACTTCTACATCAGCATGCCTTTGGAAATTATTATATCATCTGTGTGGACAACCCAGTATCTTGGACGTCCACCTGACAAACTCCCTGTCACCTTTCAAGACTCAATTCCAATGAAAATGCAGGAAACTTTTAGATGTGTCTTCCAAAAAAGCCACCCATTTGTGTAAGGATGTGGCTGGACAATCATCCTGCCAGTGCTGCGTCAGCAGAGTGCCACTGACTTATCTAGGCTGCATTTATAACCCAGGTGAGCAGCTACAAATCTGTTCTTTTGGCCTAGAGCTATAGTTCTAAGACTTCTCTGATCAGTAAAACTTCAAAACTACAGGTCTGCCAACTTTTTCTTTATTGAGTAAAAACATGAAGCTATCACAATGGCTTTTAGATGTCAGGTCTTTTTAACACTAAATAAAGAAAAGCAATTTCATATTGAAGATAATTGGCCATTTTATACCTATATAGATAAAAATATGTGGCTAACCATATATATACATTTCTCATGTATTTCTCAAATATATATATATATATTCTCATTGCTGTGAAATGGTGAACACTAGGTCACAGTACAGTAAGGGTTAGGATTTGGGAAATTAAGGAATAGCTTAGGTTGACTGAAGCAGGACAGCTTAGAAGTTCCCAGTGGATGACTGTAGCATGTTCAAGCACCCTTAGGCAAGGGTTTCCTAGGAACCCAGGCACATTACTACACAGGATAACTACACTGGATGGACAGCACCCTGGCTATCCAGTTGCTTCTATCATGACGTTCACATTTTCTGCTTCCCTATTCCTGTGGGCTATTGCCTACTGTATCTTTTCAAAAAGGTCAAATTTGCAAATAACCTGTATCATTTGTTGACTAAAATCCCAAGAGACTGGCACAGTATCTTCACCCTATTAAGCCTTCCCTGACTTTCCATAATGACCCAATTCCCTGCACAAAACCTTTTTCATAGTACTTAATTCAGTCATTATTTGATTGCAGATCTTTTCAGTAGGCTGGAGTCCCTTAAGAATAAGAAACTTGCCCCTCTTATCTTTGTTTCTCTACTTCCTCGCTTTCAGTCCAGTACATAAAACTACCATACCAGCCCTGGCAGAGTAGCTCAGTTGGTCAGAGCATCATGCCAATATGCCAACGTTGCGGGTTTGATCCCCAGTCAGGGCACATACAAGAAGCAACCAATAAATGCATAAATAAGTGGAACTTTCTCTCTCGCTTTCCCTTCCTCTCTCTCTACAATCAACAAATAAAAAATAAAAACAATAAAACTATCATGCCACATAAACTTATTAAAATATTAAAGAGTAAAAAAAAGTCTTTGCTGCTAAAGCTACAAAATACCCAAACTTATAATTATCACTTACACATTATATACATATATTTTCATGGTCTTATATGCATAGAAATAGCTCACCTGGCAACTCTTTTGGACCATCCCAACTGATTTGCACGAACTGCAACTTCTTGGTTAAGATGCTGTGCAATATTTTTTATTTCTGGTTGCAAATTTTCCACCTAGCTAAATAAAAAGTATAATTTGTTACGAGCACATAAATGATCTTTATTTATAACCACTCATAATTTTATTTTCTATTCCCTCAACTCATTTAAAAATGTGGTTTCTGCCTGGTTGGTGTGGCTCAATGGGTAAGTGTTCTTCAGTGCACACCAAAAGGTTTAATCCCTGGCCCTGGTTGGGGTGGGTCGAAGAGGCAACCAACCAATTGATGTTTCTCTGTCACATTGATGTTTCTTTCTCTGTAATTAAAAAAAAAAGTGCTTTACTGAGCATGTCAAAAAACCCTAAGTCTAAGCATAAAATGTTAATTTGCTTAAGATATCCTCAGTTACAACCAAATTCAAATTCCAGATTATACACTTATCTGTGTGATTTTGGGCAAGTTACTTAACCTCTCAGATCCTGTTCCCTCATATATAAAATGTGTATCAGTACCTACTTCACAGGGTAAATGTATGGATTAAGTGAGAATTGTACCTTCACTTTTACGTTTCATCCCTGGATTTCCCCGGGGTGAAAATAGAAGTCTATTAAGTCTTTAATATGCTCTATGACAGCAACAAAGTCCCTCAAATTTTGCATTTATACCTGCCCTGTGAAAATTCTGTAAAGTAGCACAATGCCTTAATGATGCCGATGAATCTTTCTGTTTTGTTTCCAGGTGTTTTTCCCCCAATGACCATAATCTTAAAATATGAAAGCCGTCTTTTTTGAAGTCTTACTTTTGAATAACACTTGCGATCCGAGCTCCTCGCCCGGGAGAGGGGCGGAGAGGCATTACTACCCGAACTTCCCGGGGAGCGAGCGGCCCGGCGAAGCGGGCAGGGCCGGCGTCCCGTCACCAACCGCGCGCTCGGCGGCTTCGCCGCAGCTCAGCCGGAAAACGCAGCGCCCGGAGACGGCGCGCACGCGCTGCTGCGCCCTCGAGGGCGGCGAGCGTGGGTCTCCCCGCGCTCTCCCCGCTACCGACCCACCTCGCCCGGAAAGGCGAGCTTAGGGCCCCCTGTGCTTTGAGAACAGACCCCGCGGGGGAAGGGAAGGACAGGCCCGCCCTGCGCCCGCCCGAGGCGGCCGCCGGGGAGCGGGCGCGCCCTCACCTTGGCCAGGACGTAGTGCTGGTAGGCCGCCAGCGGCAGCGTGACGGCGCCGCGCAGGGCCGCGGTGGT